TGGCTTAGTAGATCAGAAATTTGAAGGGAGTTTTTTGCATTTTTGGGTATCAAAGTCATGGTCCTACACATGCTAGGTAAGTGATTTGCCACTGAGCTACATCATGGACTTGAAATCTGCACTTTAAGTTACACTTTGGAAAATGCTATACATTGGGTAGGAGAGGGAGAGAGGCGGGGTGGGTGGGTGGGTGGGGGAGAAGCTCTTCACACTTGTCAGAAAGATTTGATACCTGTGATTGAAGTGAAGCCCGGAATTGAACGATGCTTCACTTAAGTAGAATTATGCCACTATGACTTCTGTTGTTCTCTGTGAATGTGTAAAACCCCGAAACGTAGGTACCCAGCTTGCATTTCAAAGTCTCATATCTTAGTGCCTTTCAATTGAGTGACAGTCACTAAAGCTGCAGCACACAGATCATGCTCAGCCCTGCACCTTCTGAATTGGGACCTGCATTTTAAATCGGGTCTGAGAAACCTTGATCTAGCAAATTATCAGATCAAATGTGACTTCATACCTCATTTTAAATTCTCCTTTATGCATCTTTTTTTTTAAATTCAAAAGGATGAAAGATTTTAATTACAAAAGAAAGTTTTTAAAAGGAGAGGAGTCTTCCAGATTTCCAAAGCGTACTGTTTGTGACTGACAATTTTTAAATTGGGAAGTAAATGCTTATAATGTGATTTCATTCACCCTGTAGCTATTTTTCCACAAAAGAGATCAGTGTGACCTATAATCACGATCACTTATCTCCAGTCTTCACTGTAAGTTTCCTGTGGGCAGGATCATGTTTTAGGTATCTGATTTTCAGTGCCTAACATAATGTTTAACATATATAAGTGCTTCAAAAACCTTGAGTGGAAATAAAATCTGTTAATCACTTATCTGAGTTACAGCTACCCTAAGAATTCAAGTTTAAGGTTCCTCCCGTACCATAAAAATTTCTCTAATCATTTCACCTATGTCCTCTCCTCATCTGCTTTAAGTAAACACCACTTACTTGATATTTAACATTCACACACACAACTTGAGATACCAGGTATCTTTAATACCTTCATGACCCTCTTTACAACTGTAGGAAGCTATCTCATTTTATGTATTTTATGTCAACTTATAAAGGAAGCATACAAGTATTTGTTATTATGGAGACATATAAAATCTACAAGTTTTTATTATCCTTCAAATATTTAAAAAAAATTTTTTTGTCTTTTTTTTTTTTTTTATCGGTACCCGGGATCGAACTCAACACTGCCTGCTTGCAAGGCAGGCGCTTATGCCGTTGAGCTAAATCCCCAGCCCCTCCTTCAACTATTTTTCTAAACTTCCAAAATTAATTATGAGGCACTAACATTTAAACGGCTCCTCCAGTCATGAGACTAGATCTTGCTGGGTAGCTCAGGCTGATCTCTACTGGCAACAATCCTCTTGCCTCAGCTCGCCCAATGCTGGGATTACAAGGGTGCACCACCATACCTGATATGACCCATGGATCTTGAGAAAAACATGTTTATATATAAAGTGCTTTTATAGTTTTCAAAGAATTAGTTGCATCTTTACCCAACTCAATCTCTTTAGGGATATATAGGTAGTAACTTTTATATTTTGTATGATTTTCCCGATCCATTATTTGCATTTAAAAACTAGTTGTCCATATATTACTCAAAATACACGTCTGGCATGTCAGGTTTTAACTGCCTTAACCATAGATGTCTTAATAATATCAGTATAGCTCTGACAATGTTTTTAATAAATCATTGTTTCAGCTCTCTTTAAGAACGTGCTTTATTCTACTTATTACACAAATCGTCTCTAACTTTCCTATAGATGGCAGCATTGAGTAACGTATTTTAGTGGTAAGTTGCTTTTCGGTTCCTCTGACTATTCAGTTAGGACTTTCAGTACCATTACAATACACAAGACTAGCGTAGGGTGACAGCATAATACGGCATATATCTGCTCAACATTACTTCAGATGCCACAAAAGCATTTCTTTCTATTCTGTACAAGAACCACGAATGAATTTGCATTTCTAGAGTTGTCTGAACCCATTAATAAAAACGTAGAGAACAATTCAACTTACTATAGTGTGCCTATAATAAATATTAACCACTTAAACATTGGTAGTAAAACATTAGCACGACAGAAAAAAATGGCAAAAACATCCTACCCTCGGTGATTATCTTCCACACGAAATTCATTGGTTTGAACAGTGTGTCACAGCCATCTGGCTTTCATGATTTTCATTAAATATTTTAGCCATATAAATTGTCTTTCAAGCTAATATCCCTTCGCATTGAAAGACATTTTTAAAAAGCGTTTATAGTAACAGGTTTGTTCGTGGTACTGGGGATTGAACTCTGAGCCCTGAGAGATAGTCAAATATTGCACCTCCGAGTCCCAGCCTCAGCTCCAACAATTAGCTTTAGATGATCAAAGTCAGTCTTGCTGGAAAGAATAAATGTGAAACGTTTGCAAGTTAAATAAATTTCAGTTTTCCCCTCCTGCCAGGAAACAGTATTTTATTTCTCATAGAGGATAAAGTCTCTTTATTTTTTTCCCTGAAGTGGGATGTGTGTGTGTGTGTGTGTGTGTGTGTGTGTGTGTGTGTGTGTGTGTTGGGGAGGCGTGGTAAAGGGTAGAGAGAAAGTCATTTTTGAAAAGTAAAAGTCGATGAATTTGAATTGTTTTCCTACAAAATCTGAAACACCCGCCTTCCCTCACAGCTAAACATCAAACCTGTAAAAAGCCCTTTGGCCTTATCTAAATTACATTGTTACTAGTAAACAACTCTTTATTATCTTTCTCTCTTCTTGCCTGGGGTAAAACCTCCTGCATTTGCACTTCTACACTAACTTAGGGCGTCTGTACTCCAGACTCCTCCCGGTCCCCGGGAAGCATTTTACACTCCAGGACATCGCTCCCCGTTACTGCTGCCTGGTTACCATCTCCAAACGATCTGCTATTTATAGCCCTGCTGTAGTGGGCACGTGTGCCCACATCACCAGGCTGTCAGAGGGAGGGGAGGGGGAAAGCTTTGAGGTCAACATGTGGCCTCAAATAATAGACCAAGCGGGTTTACGTGAGGCTGCGTGAGCCCGCAGCAAGGTGGGAGGAGAAGCCAGTGGTTCCCAGGCTTCGATGGGGAAAAGCCCCTCTGCAGATGCTGCCACCCCCAATTCACGTATGGAAAAACACTGATGGCGCCTATGGTTCTTTTTCTCCTTCCTCATCTTTTTTTTTTTTTTTCCCCTCTACGCTTTGCAACCTACCTTGGTACCCTCACCCTCTCTCCCCACAACCGCAGCCTTGCAGGATTTGAAGGACAGGCAGCCGCACGAATCAGCTGGCTTTCCCCGGAAACTCGCACCACCCCTCGTCCCGCATTAGGCCGAGGCGCGTTCCCTGGCGACCCAAAGGGTGCTGGCCACCGAGCACGCCCAGCGCTCCACTGCGGCATCCCGCACTAGCATCCTGCAGTGCCTGCGAGCTGAGGGGGGTCCCCGCTTCGAAAGGGGCAGAAACCCCCAGCGGGTCCGGACTCGAGTAGAAAAATAAGGTCACATTAAACAGAGTGGCAAATGTTCTTGTAGGTTTTTGATGCCACGCTGGGCAAGCAGGAACAAACTGCTTATAGTTCACCTTTAAGACCCCCCCCCAAAAAAAAAACTCTGAGGGAGCGTTTGCCTGGGGTGAGTCTGACACCGCGAGGTAACCGGGTAGGACGTTCTGCAGCTACACTCAGGCTCCTGACCCGCTCTGCTCCTGAAGTACCCATTTGCTTGTACGCTTGAGCTGGCACCATCCGTGTTTTCTCCCGCTTATCCTTGTGGTCAAGGTTAAAAATTTATAGGGTGGTTCAGTGGGTGTGGAAGCTGTGTGTGAAACCAACATTTCAGCCACTATTTGAACAGTAGGGTTTTGGTCTCACAAGCCTTTCTCCGTAGATCCTTAACATCTTAAAAAAAAAAATCAAATGTAAGGAGCATATCATTCCAACCCGTACAATCCCCTTCCCATTCTCTCAGTCCCAGGTTCGAATCTCTACTCTGAGACAGAGGAAAAGGTAGAAACCGTGATCTGTACATTTGCTCCCTGATGAGCAGCTAATTCCATAGTGCCATAAGGGAGACTTCTCGGGGATCCCCGTCCTGCGTTTGGAGTGACCGTAACACCCCCCGCAACTGCCCTTGACTGTCCCCCTCTTCCTCCGAGGTACCTCATGGCAGCAAATTCTGGGACTCCAAGGTGGCCGGCTGGCCCAGAAGTCCCTTAGAAATCCTTATAAAAATGTAGATCTCCCCTCTATGACCTCTATCACCCCGAAGCCGAGAGCCCCAGCTTTTCTATTTCCTGGGAGAAGGGGAAGCCTGGACTAGAAGCCTCCCCATCCCGAGGGCTCGATCTTACCTGCTAGGTAAGATCCAGCCCAGCCCACGCGCCCCCTCCTCCCCGGGCCCTCCCACTCGGGGCTCTGCAGCCGCAGTGCCCCCCCCCCGCCGCCCCCCACCCTCACTCCTGCGTCTTCCCGACCTCGTCCCCTCCCGTTTTCCCAGACTCCCCTCGCGCTTTCGGGTAGCCACCCAAACACCCCCGCCCGCGCCCGCCCGCGCCCGCCGCGGGGATTCCTGCAGGCCGGGGGCGCCCTGGGTGGCGCTGCGCCGGGGCGGCCGGCCACGGAGGGGCGCTGCCAGAGCGTTGCGCAGGGGAGGCCGGGCGCGGGCGCCTCTGCGGCACGGCCGGGGGGCGGAGAGGGGCGGGCGCGGGGCGGGCTCGGCCCGGAATGTAGAGACCCGGGCGGGAGCCTCCCGGCGGTGGCCCGGCGGCCGAGCACGGGGGCTCCGTCACGTGTTTTTCTCCTCCGAGTGAGACGGCGGCGCGGTCGGAGGGGGCCGGCGCGCAGAGCCAGACGTCGGCGCTTGTTTTGGTTGGGGCTCTCGGCAACTCTCCCAAGAGGAGGAGGAGAAGGAGGAGGAGGAGGAGGAGGAGGAGGAGCAGGAGGAGGGAGGGGAGAAGTAACTGCGGCGGCTGCGCCTCCCGGGGAACAGGCGTCTTCCCCGAATCCTTCCCACCCCACCCCCCGCCTCCTCCCTCGTCTGCCCCCCTCTTCCCCTGCCGACTGGAGCGAGGGGCAGGGATGAGCCTGTCCCTCCGGACCGTCCCCGGCTGCTCGGTAGCGTTTCCCGTGGAAAAGCCACTTTCCCCGCCCGCCGAGATGGGCTCCAGTGTGGGCTGCAGAGGACGCGTCCGCGGACGGCGGCAGCGACAGCCGCAGCGCCGCGGTCTCCGCGATTGAGCTGGTATTTGGGCGGCTGGTGGCGGCGGGGACGGTTGGGGGGTGGGAGGAGGCAGAGGAGGCGGCGAAGGAGGAGGAGGGAGAACCCTGTGCAACGTTGGGACTTGGCAGCCCGCCTCCCCCTGCCCAAGTATATTTAATTTGCCTCGGGAATAGCTACTTGCAGAGGGGAACTCAGGAGGGAAGGCGCGCGCTTCTGGAGGGGCCACGCGGGAACCCCCGGCCGCTGCGTCCTCCCTGCGCTGGACTTCGGAGAGAGATGCATCTTCGCTGCTGCTCGGCTGTGGCGGCCGAGAGGAGACTTGGCTCTTGGAGGATTGTGGTTGCGCTCACCCCGGACGCACTGCCTCCCCCTTGGGCTTGAAACGCCAGCAAACTCCGGCGGCCGCACTGTCTTCCTCGGAGCAGCCACTGCGTCCTCCTTCGGCAAGCCCTCCCTACCCAGCGCGGGTGGCGGTGTGGATTTCGGAGCCAGGGTTTCTGCTGCCTCCAGCCCTGTTTGCATGTGCGGGGCCGCAGTGAGCGACCTCCGCCCCCCACCCAGTTGTTTTTCGGCGTCTTCCTCTGCTTCGCGGCAGTGGCGGCGGCAGCATGGCGAGCCCACCGGATACCGATGGCTTCTCGGACGTGCGCAAGGTTGGCTACCTGCGCAAACCCAAGAGCATGCACAAGCGCTTCTTCGTGCTGCGAGCAGCTAGCGAGGCCGGGGGCCCTGCGCGCTTGGAGTACTACGAGAACGAGAAGAAGTGGCGGCACAAGTCGAGCGCCCCCAAACGCTCTATCCCTTTGGAGAGCTGTTTCAACATCAACAAGCGGGCTGACTCCAAGAACAAGCACCTGGTGGCTCTCTACACCCGAGATGAGCACTTTGCCATTGCGGCAGACAGCGAGGCTGAGCAAGACAGCTGGTACCAGGCTCTCCTGCAGCTGCACAACCGTGCCAAGGGCCACCACGACGGGGCCTCAGTCTCTGGTGCAGGAGGTGGTGGGGGCAGCTGCAGCGGCAGCTCAGGCCTTGGTGAGGCCGGGGAGGACTTGAGCTATGGAGATGCGCCCCCGGGACCTGCATTCAAGGAGGTCTGGCAGGTGATCCTGAAACCCAAGGGCTTGGGTCAGACAAAGAACCTGATTGGCATCTACCGTCTCTGCCTGACCAGCAAGACCATCAGCTTCGTGAAGCTGAACTCAGAAGCAGCAGCCGTGGTGCTCCAACTGATGAACATCAGGCGCTGCGGCCACTCTGAGAACTTCTTCTTTATTGAGGTGGGTCGTTCTGCAGTGACAGGGCCTGGGGAATTCTGGATGCAGGTGGATGACTCGGTGGTTGCCCAGAACATGCACGAGACTATCTTGGAAGCCATGCGGGCTATGAGTGATGAATTTCGCCCTCGCAGCAAGAGCCAGTCTTCATCCAACTGCTCCAACCCCATCAGCGTCCCCCTGCGCAGGCACCATCTCAACAACCCTCCGCCTAGCCAAGTGGGCCTGACCCGCCGATCTCGTACAGAGAGCATCACTGCCACCTCTCCAGCCAGCATGGTGGGCGGGAAACCGGGTTCCTTCCGGGTGCGTGCCTCCAGCGACGGTGAAGGCACCATGTCCCGGCCAGCTTCAGTGGATGGCAGTCCTGTGAGTCCTAGTACCAATAGGACCCATGCCCACCGGCATCGGGGCAGCTCCCGGCTACACCCCCCACTCAATCACAGCCGCTCCATCCCTATGCCTTCCTCACGTTGCTCACCCTCAGCCACCAGCCCAGTGAGTCTGTCCTCCAGCAGCACCAGTGGCCATGGCTCCACCTCGGACTGTCTCTTTCCAAGGCGCTCTAGTGCTTCTGTTTCTGGTTCTCCTAGTGATGGCGGTTTCATCTCTTCTGATGAGTATGGCTCTAGTCCCTGTGATTTCCGAAGTTCTTTCCGCAGTGTCACCCCGGATTCCTTGGGCCACACCCCACCAGCCCGTGGAGAGGAGGAGCTGAGCAACTACATCTGCATGGGTGGCAAGGGGGCCTCCACCCTGACGGCTCCCAATGGTCACTACATTTTGTCTCGGGGTGGCAATGGCCACCGCTACATCCCAGGAGCAGCAGGTTTGGGCACAAGCCCAGCCTTGACTGGGGATGAAGCAGCCAGTGCTGCAGATCTGGATAATCGGTTCCGAAAGAGGACTCACTCAGCAGGGACATCCCCTACCATTTCCCACCAGAAGACCCCTTCGCAGTCCTCAGTGGCTTCCATTGAGGAATACACAGAGATGATGCCTGCCTACCCACCAGGAGGTGGCAGTGGAGGCCGACTGCCCAGCTACCGGCACTCCGCCTTTGTGCCCACCCACTCCTACCCTGAGGAGGGTCTAGAGATGCACCCTATGGAGCAGCGTGGGGGCCACCACCGCCCAGACACCTCCAGCCTCCACACCGATGATGGCTACATGCCCATGTCTCCAGGGGTGGCCCCAGTGCCTGGCAACCGAAAGGGCAGTGGAGACTATATGCCCATGAGTCCCAAGAGTGTGTCTGCCCCACAGCAGATCATCAATCCCATCAGACGCCATCCCCAGAGAGTGGACCCCAATGGCTACATGATGATGTCTCCCAGTGGCAGCTGCTCCCCTGACATTGGAGGTGGGTCGAGTAGCAGTAGCAGCATTAGTGCTGCCCCTTCTGGAAGTAGCTATGGGAAACCATGGACAAATGGAGTTGGAGGCCACCACTCTCATGCTCTGCCTCACGCCAAGCCCCCTGTGGAGAGTGGTGGTGGCAAGCTCTTGCCTTGTACAAGTGACTACATGAACATGTCACCAGTTGGGGACTCCAACACCAGCAGCCCCTCTGACTGCTATTATGGCCCTGAGGACCCTCAGCACAAGCCAGTCCTCTCCTATTACTCTTTGCCAAGGTCTTTTAAGCACACCCAACGCCCCGGAGAGCCGGAGGAAGGTGCCCGGCATCAGCATCTCCGCCTCTCCTCCAGCTCTGGTCGTCTTCTCTACTCTGCAGCAGCAGAAGATTCTTCCTCTTCCACCAGCAGCGACAGCCTGGGTGGGGGTTACTGTGGGGCAAGGCCGGAGCCTGGGCTCCCTCACCCCCATCATCACATCCTGCAGCCCCGTCTGCCTCGAAAGGTGGACACGGCTGCACAGACCAACAGCCGCCTGGCCCGGCCTACACGGCTATCCCTGGGGGATCCCAAAGCCAGCACCTTACCTCGGGCTCGGGAGCAGCAACAACAGCCGCCCCCAATGCTCCCTCCAGAACCCAAGAGCCCAGGGGAATATGTGAATATTGAGTTTGGGAGTGATCAGCCTGGCTATTTATCTGGTCCCATGGCTTCCCGCAGTTCCCCTTCTGTCCGGTGTCCCTCACAGCTCCAGCCGGCTCCCAGAGAGGAAGAGACTGGCACCGAGGAGTACATGAACATGGACCTGGGACCTGGCCGGAGAGGGGTCTGGCAGGAAGGTGGTGGGTCTGAGATAGGCAGAGTGGGCCCTGCACCTCCAGGGGCCACTAGTGTTTGTAGGCCCACGCGGGCAGTGCCCAGCAGCCACAGCAGCCAGGGCGACTACATGACCATGCAGATGGGTTGTCCTCGTCAGAGCTATGTGGACACTTCACCGGTTGCCCCCGTCAGCTATGCTGACATTCGGACAGGCATTGCAGAGGAGGTGAGCCTGCCCAGGGCCACAGTGGCCGTTCTCTCTTCATCTGCAGCAGCCCCTGCTTCCCCCACGGCCCCCCAGGGAACAGCTGAGCTGGCTGCCCACTCTACCCTGCTGGGGGATCCACAGGGACCTGGGGGCATGAGCGCCTTCACCAGGGTGAACCTCAGTCCCAACCGCAACCAGAGTGCCAAAGTGATCCGCGCAGACCCACAAGGGTGTCGGAGGCGGCACAGCTCGGAAACCTTTTCCTCAACACCTACTGCTACCCGGGCGGGCAACACTGTGCCCTTTGGCGGGGGAGCTGCAGTAGGAGGCAGTGGTGGCAGCGGCAGCAGCAGTGAGGATGTGAAACGCCACAGTTCTGCTTCATTTGAGAATGTGTGGCTAAGACCTGGGGAGCTAGGGGGAGCCCCCAAGGACACTGCCCAAGTGTGTGGCGCGGCTGGGGGTTTGGAAAATGGTCTTAACTACATAGACCTGGATTTGGTCAAAAACTTGAAACAGCGCCCTCAGGAGCGCCCCCCTCAACTGCAGCCTGCCCTGCCCCCAGCCCCCCATAAGCCCCTGGGCAGCAGTGAGAGCAGCTCAACCAGCCGCTCCAGTGAGGATGTAAGCGCCTATGCCAGCATCAGTTTCCAGAAGCAGCCAGAGGACCGCCAGTAGTGCAACTGGACATCACAGCAGGTGCGTTTCATGGTGTCAGAGTCAGGAGGCAAAACTGCTTGTAACCTTGCACTTGAATTCTATTCTCTGCCCCCTGCTCCTTCCCACTGTTTCCCTGGAGAGAATGCACTGACTGGGGTGATGAGGGGGGATTGAGATATTCACCCACAACACCACCTGGCAGACAAATAAATGTGCAGGAGCAAGCAGCCACAGGAAGGCTTTTCATTTGAGATTCCTAAGTGAAGTACTTACTGTAGCATTTTAAAAACTTTATTTCATAATACTAGTTCTGATACTGTAAAGTTTATGTACATATACAGAAGAACCTTCAACCTTTTATTGACGTTTTCTTTAACCTTTGTAGTAAGGTCAGCCCCTGGAAGGGACTAATGTACCAAAATACTTGTTGGTACTCTTATTTAAGTTTCCCAGAGCTCTGAAGAGTGATCCTACAGAGTCACTGTGTGTACTTTTGTTCTGTGATTTCACAATACCAAAGCAACATAAACAGCAGCAGGAAACATTAATTTTTATTCATGCTGGCCTAAAAAAGATTCAGGAGTCAGAGCTTTATAGGCATACATACTTAGAAATACTGATCTATGATCCTTTGAGTAAGTAATTATTGGTGATATTTTCTTTTTGTTCCTGTACCAGGATTCATGAAATATTTTTTATATACCAAACCACCATCTCACGGGCATGGCCGCTTTTATACAGGATATGCAATAAACTGAATGCGCCTGGGACCCATTATGAGTTAAGAGTTATGGAAGTTCATCCCCACATGTCTGTCTTGCAGTTGTCTACTCTTGCTCTGAAGCATTGCATGTATCATTTGGGGGCTACTGTACATCTCCCGTGAAATTACTTTACATTTTTATGGTGAAAAGAAGGCACGTTTAAGTCAGAGAAGGAAAGTCGTGTTGTGTTGGTTTGCACTGAATGTGAGGGGTAAACTTGTGCTCTTCTTCATTCTAAGATTATTTGTTGTTCTCCTTTAAGTTCAAGAGTAGATGCCTCAGAAATGTTGAAAGTTAGTTTTAGGTCTTTTGTGGCTAAGGCTGTATTGAAAATGAAAAACATTTGTAATAGGAAATTAGGCTGCTCTTTGCTCTGTGAGCTTATTTTCTAGTGGTCATAATTGTGGGTAGTAAAAGAGTATAGTTTGCAAATAATGTGATGAGTTGGCAGTGTAGAAGTTTTTAGCATTTGGAAACACTTTATTCTGACAAACTAATTATATTGTGAGTTTTTGAAATGCTTTGCAGAATGAGCTGTTAAGAGAATTTCTACTTCTTATTATGTGTCCATTCATAAGAAGTTAATTTGTGTGTCTTGGGTTCCTATCAGTAGGTAGGTATTTGTGTTTTATGTGGTCACAGTTTCCTTGAGTGTGATACCTGACTGGTATCATTCTGTGTTTTGTGGAACAAAGTACAGATCCATGAATATTCAAACTAAGGTCTTAGGTGATAATGCTATGAAAGGCATTTATTTGATTAGTATTACCACAATTAGTAATCCCAACATTGGTTTTCATCATTCACTAGATGAGAGATTTAATTGTGCATGTGAATGGAAAAATTTTGGTTATTTCAGGTGGTGTTTTGGAGCAGAATCTCTGTTACACTTCAGCCATCTGGATTGTAAAATGCTTCATTTATAACTTAATAACAATTTGAAGGAAAGAAACTAAATTTTTCCTTGCCAAAAGAGATGAAGAGACTAAGAAACAATGAGCTTTCCCTCATCTGTTTTCTTAACTTGTGGTTTCTTTATAGAGAATAGAATAAATAATACTTGCCTTGAACAAAGCAATCAGGTAATCAAGGGATTTAAAATCCTTTATGTAAAGGATAAAATGCAAACAAAACAAAAATAAAACAAGCCCCAACATTCTATTCTTGACTTTCTTGGGAAAATCATAGAATATCTTTAATAATCCTGAAATAGCCATGGACCATGCTTTGGGCGTACCATGCCAAAAAAGAAAAAAAAAAAAAATCCACAGTGTGCATTTGTAAGCTGTAAATTTATGTGTATGTGTCTTAAATTGGGCATCAGAGGCTACCTGGCACATACTATCAGCTTCCCCTTGCCCTGTTAGGTTTAAAGGCCATGTTTGTCAGTATTCATCTGAAAGAGAAAGAAGTCAGACCTTTCAGTGTCAAGCAGCTGCTGTGCAGAATGAGTAGGTTAAAGTTGGAGAAAACACTGTTTTTCTAACTTCCTCAGCAACTGCTCTCTTTGCCTCAGGTAAAAGCTGAAACTGACCAAGAATAAAGATGAGGAATGTGTTATGCTTCCTCCTCCTCTGTCATTTGAACGCGTCTGTTTAGTGTTTTTCGCTGTCCGTTGAAGGACACTCAGGTTCCCAGGACTTGCCACCTTTTCTTGTTTCTCCTTTCTCTTGCTGACCTTTGTGTCTCCTGCAACTAAGTTCTGATCTGCAGGATTATTTTCCATTACCACTCCCCTCCCATTCTCTTTGTTTCCCACCGCTTATTTCTTGTTCTCCGCACTGGCTTTTTTTTTCTTCCTTTTTAGAATGTCACAGTGTGGTTCTCGTGGCCTGCTTCTCGCGGGCTACATGGGGAGCCCCTAGGACAGCAAATACCTTAAGCCAGCGTCCACCTCCCTCCAATTTTTTTTGTAGTGTTGACAGGGCGGCTGGGCAGAGGGCGGGCTCCCACAAACAGAGACCCGAACCATCTCTATGGGGTTCAGTGTTTGGGTTTTTGCCATGCTTTTGTTATGCTCCTTCCCCTTAACAAAAAGAATTCTGCCATTTCTCGTCTTCTCCTGCTTTTCCCACCCGCGATTTCAGGGGCTCTGTCTCTGCACAATTACGTCCCCTTCCCTTCGCCATGTGGCCGTCCGAGCTGGCGCAGACCCCCTCGGCCCTGCCACTTTCCCTTTTCCAGGGTCACCTCCGCTTCCTGCATGCCTTCGTTTTATTTGGCTTGGGCTTCCCCTCCCTGCTCCCCTCCGGCTGGGGGTGGGGCACCTGCCCTGGCCGCCGGGAGTCTCGCACCCCCGCCCGTCTCAGTCTCCGGCGTCCGGGCGTCCGGGCGTCCGGGCCTCTTCCCAGGCCACGTGGTGGGCGGTGGCGAGCGAAGCCCCGCCCGCTGGCTCGGCGCTGCAGGCCCCAGCCAGGCGGGCGTGGCTGCCGGGTGCAGATTGGCCCCCGCCAGAGCCAATCAGCATGAGCAGTGGCCGGTCTGGGGCGGAGCTTGCGGGGGGGCGGGCCCGGCGTCGGGCCAGGCGTCCCCGGCTGCTCTCCCACCCACCTCTGTCCCTTTCCCTCCTGGGCGGGTGAAGTTGAGCCAAACCGGCTCTCCACCTCGCCCCCATCAAAGGATGTGATACACGCAGTCTATTTGTGCATCTAGACCACAATCCCAAGAATGAAAAAGTCCAACCAGCCCGTTGACAGAGGCCGGAAACACACACTTCCTCTTATTTTTAATTGAGAAAAATTCAGGCTGTGACCATGTGACGTGCCCCATTTTGTTTCCCTCCTCTCTTTACTATGGTTTACTACGACGCCACGTTCCTTCATCTTCCTGTCTTGAAATCCACAAGGAGGAGCGAGCGACAGCATGACAGCACGTGGCTGTGGGATTGATGGGGTTGGCTCTTGATTCTTACATTTACATCTTTCACTCTTGAGAGGGAGAAGGAAATACAAGCGCTGGGCTGGCACTGTTTTGGGGTCATTCGGAGCTAAAAAAAAAAAAAAATCCTTTGACTTGAAAGCACCTTGTGCTTTATCCAGTACCTGCATCTTGCAGAGCTCATAGCTAAATTAAGATCAAGGAAAAGTGATCTTTCTTCGCTGGTTCTGAGCTCAGAAAAGAAAAATTGGGCTATAGCTTGCAGATCTGACTTCAATAAAAGGCTTGAGGGATGTGCTCCTTAACCAAAGTTTAGGGGAAATGCTGCTTATGTTCTCAAACGCAAGCTTTTGTTTTCCTTTTGCCAGTGACTGCCAATTAAGGCAGGTTTGGTGCAGTGGTTCTGAAGTTTTGAAAGCTTCCTAAAATTGTGTTGCACTCGCTCTCATGACAGAATTTTGTGAGATGTATTAGTATATGGGGTTAGGTTTGACCTTTCTAAAAGAAAGACAGTAAGAAAGAGACATGCTATGGAAGCGTTGCCCCTCCCCTCAAACAAGCATTTCTCAGCAGCCTGCACTCTTCTTCATTTGAGTCACAAACTCTAAAGGAACGGCTTTTGCTCAGGTGTAGTTGGACGCGAGGCGTGTGAAAATGTCTCTGTCACAGGTGCGAGTGAACTGATTTCTGCCTCAGAGTGGCGCGAGAGAATTTCTCTGTTGTCCCAGTATATATTGAGTATTTGACAGCCTACCTCATTTTCTTGCCATTGGTCAGATAGCTTCACCTGTTACCAAACAAGTCCATAAAAAATTCCAGAGGTTGTCATTTATCTGAATGTCCTCTTAATACTATATCCAGTATTGCTTTACTGAAAGGGACCTGGAATCCCAAAAGGGCATGCCGCTATTTTTGTTTTGTTTTCTTTATCAAAACTTCTGGAAACTACTTTGGTGCTATCTTGAATGATGCAATGGAAAAGGCAGCTCTTGTGAGCCAGAGATCTCAGCTTCTAACAAAGCCTGTGCCCTGGTAAGCCGAGTGACCTTGAGCAAGTCTCTGAAAGCCCCTGAGCCTATTTCCTGATCTGTAATTTAAGAATTTTGTTCTACATTATTTTAGCCTCCTTCCTAGCTCTGAACATTGAAATGCTTTGTAGAAAATGACTAAAATTCTTCAGTGGGTCATTTGTGATAAAGAATTTTTATGAAAAAGCTGTTGATAGGGTCATAATAAATGCACTGGAATATCCTGTTTCGTCCTTTTCTAGTCTTGGCATCAGACACTCTTTTTGGGCAGCATGGGCCCTTGATGAAAACCGTCTGTTAATCCAGCAGTGTTTTAATATTTCTTGTTTTGGGGGAGCTATTTTCCTCCCTTTAAGGCAAACCCTCCTGT